TTTAAGTTAATTACATAATGTAAATCTTTCTCAACTTCTCCTTAATTTTCTCATCTTTTCTTCCCGTTGCAACGCACGGGCAGCAAGTTATAAACTTAATTTGTTTTCCGTATTATAACGCACGGCCGGCTCTAAGCTATTAATAACAAAATGAGGTAAAACTATATGAATTTCCGCTCCGATATACTCCTTTAATTTTCTGCATACATATGACGTGTTTGGTTTGATTTCACTAAAATTTTGGTATTAGCAAAATCTGCTAAGGTGAAGGTTTGCGGGTGTTGTCTGGTTTAATATTTTACTATTTGTTTTTGTGTAAAGTCGTGTGAAGTTCCTAGAAAACTACCATATTTTGGTTGTGTAAAATATGATACTGTATTAGTTTTGAGTTATGTTTGGATTAGTTACTACCTTGCCAGCATCTAGTATGGTTGAAAATGATGGCAAAACAAACATACCCATAATGAAAATCAACAATTTTAAATTACAGTATTTAAAACTAGAAATTTATATGTGTACGCACTAATATATAGATTCAACATATACAATTGAAATGAGAGAGAAAAAAAAGTTAAAATGAGAACAAGCTAGCGAGGGGGCAGAAACGGAGAGTGAGAGGAGTTGCTGAGAGTTGGATGGCCGGGCCTGCCAAAAACTTCAGGCCTAAGCTCGGCCCAATTTGGATGTCGAGTAAAAAAACAGGAATAAGTTCATTTTACGTCTCGTATCTTTCCAACGAGTTTAAAAGAAAAAATCCATTTTGATTTCCTCGAGTATAGATCGAATCATCGAATCTGATTCATAATTATGCTTAGGCTGTCTTCTTTCCCTATTTTCCCAACACACCTCTCTCATTTTCCGCGCGCACTTTTCAAACTGTTAAACAGTGTGATTTATAAGAAAACTTTCTATATGAAAGTTGTTTAAAAAATCCATATTAATCTATTTTTTTTAAAAAAAATAGTTAATACTTAATTAATCATGCAATAAAACGAACTTTGTTTTGCATGCCGGGGAGGAGGGGTTCCCAACCCCCTCCTCCGAACACAACCTTAGTCTCGAATTCGTAATCCCGGTTGGAAAACCGGGACTACAGAGGGTTACAAACCGGGAGTAAAGACCATTTCTCCACCAGTGTAACCCTCAACCATAAAACTATGTATATCAATTCCTCCAACTATTAAAACAACCATGTAAAATGGCTCCCTCAACAGTTTTAGGAGAGGTTTTGTCTGAGATGGTATTCACGTGGCAACCCAATCATCAAAGAAAATAAAAAGTAGACACGGATTCCTTTGGGCAGGTTCCCAACTCCTATTCCTCGTCTTTCGTGCGCACGCTTTTCAAACTGCTAAACGGTGCGTTTTTTGCAAAAAAAAAATTCTATACGAAAGTTGCTTAAAAATCAAACTAATCCATTTTTGAAAAAAAAATAGCAAATACTTAATTAATCACGCGCTAATGGACTGCTCCGTTTTCCGTGCAAAGAAGTTGGTTCCCAACCGCCTGGAAGGAACATAGCCTTATAAGTGACTAAAAATTTGTTTGTGCAGTTGACACAAAAAGTAGACACGGATAACACTTATAAGTGACTCGAAATTTGTTCGTGCAGTTGAACAAGCTGGACGTGTGTCGGGTTTACATCAGCGCGACCACGTTAAGATCGTTCGACCGCTGCCGGTTGCTCAACAATCAAGCAGCCACCCCGGGTGCCATATCTTTGAAAGTGGCAGTGGTGAACACAAATTAACCTCGGCGGCGGCGTCTTCCCCGGTGCACAAGACGATAGCTCCCGCCACTGCAGCTCGTTGTCAAGGTCGCGAGAACTCTCAGCACGCCGACGGGTCTGACGATGATGCCATCGACTGGAACCCGTTCATCAGTAGCGGCACTGCTGATGATCTCGGGTCCAACACTGTCGATCGTTGTCCTTGTAGCTGTTGCAGATGAACAGGGCATCCCTGTTGCCATACATGGCGAGGCTGTTCATGGGGAGCACCAGCTCCGACTTGGAGCGGAATGACTCGCCGAATTCCTGTCCATGGGCGAGGTGCTGTGGAGAAAGAAGAGAGAGGAGAGTGGTGGAGGAAGAACATACGTAGTCACTTACACTGGTGGAGAAATAATCTTTGCTGGGTCGACCTAAAACCACAATAATCCCGGTTCCAAAAAAAACCGGGACTAAAAATGATCTTTAGTCCCGGTTGAAAACCCCATAGGCATTCTATGATCTTTAGTCCCGGTTGGTGTCATCTTTAGTCCTGGTTCATCCCCTGTCAGATTGATGTCAGGGGGCCGAGAATCTTTAGTCCCGGTTGGTGTCACCACTTTAGTTCCGGTTGGTGTTCCCAACCCGGATTAAATATGATCTTTAGTCCCGGTTATTAGTTCCGGTTGGTGTTCCAAACCGGGACTAAAGATCAATTGGAACTAAAATTCGAAGTGTAGTATATAATCCTATCCCTTATCCTCCTTCCTCCTCCGCTTCCTACATCCTCATCCCGATCCATCCTCTCCACCTCCTCCCCTTCCTCATCTGATCCCCTCCCCTCTCCTTCACCTCCTCCTCTCCCTTCCTGCCCATCCTCCCCTTCCCCTCAACCTCCTCCCCTTCCTCATCCCCTCCCCTCTCCTCCACCTCCTCCTCTTCCCTTTCCTGCCCATCCTCCCCTTCCCATCCGGCAGCCGGCGGCTGGCGGGGCCGTGCCCGATGACGGGCCGGCGGTTGTGGCGGGCGGCGGCAATGGCGTTGTTTTCTCTTTTTTTTTAATTTGTGATTCACATGTATAATTTTGTGATTATTGGATGGATCTGAGATGATCTGTGATGTATTTGATTTGTGTGTAATTTTTTAGGATTTGTGATGTATTTGATTTGTGTGTATATGTAACTTTAAGATTTGTGATGTTACTTTATTTGTGATGTAGATTTGGGATGTTACTTTGATTTGGGGATATGCTTCCCACTTGATTTGGGAGAAAATAAAAAAAAAGAAAAGGGGACCATCTGGGACTGCCGCTATTCTCTCTTTACTCCCAAACTAAAAAGAGGGATCTTTAGTCCCATCTTTAATCCCAGTTATTTGAACCGGGACTAAAGATAGCGATCTTTAGTCCCGGATTCGTAGTCCGGTTGGAAAACCGAGACTACAGGGGGTTACGAACCGGGAGTAAAAAGCACTTCTCCACCAGTGTTACATGTAGCGCCTGCATCTGCCTATATCTATTTTTTATTTTTTATTGTTGACTTGGATGCCACTGATTGTTGCGTCAACCAAAACCATTCTCAAAACAGGTTAGAGAGTCATTTCACATGATTTTAACCGTTGAAGGGGTCAATATATCCGGTTTTATAGTTGAGGGATGCGAATGAGATTCAACCTATATTTGAGGGCGTAAAAATGGACTCTTTGAGTTTCAATCGTGTTTGTGAACTGCAATACCGAAAATCTTGACCCCACAACTTATAAAACCAGATTAAATTAGGTCCCATGATAGTATGATTGGATGTTTTCACTGACGTGGCGAGTTGATTTGCCCTCAATCCATACTGATGGATGGTTTCACTAATGAGAAGAGGGATATGTGGGGGGAGAGGTGAAAGTTCACATACATATGGCCCTTATATGTTTTTTTCTTTTTCTGACTAGGATGCCATCAGTGAAACAGTTATCCATACTACCATGGGATGTAATTTAAACTGGTTTTATAAGTTGCGGGGTCAAGATTTCCGATGTTGTGGTTCATGGATAGTTGGATACCATTTAAACTCGTTGAAAAGGTGAGGAAAGTAAAGTGGGAAGCTTGAGATTGGCCGAACAGGTCTTTCTCAAGTTGTTCTTATAACTTTTATTGGTTTTCAGGTCGTAATTAACTAATGCTTACATTTTGTACTTAACTCTCACTTTTGTGGGTAACATAAGCTTTTGCTTTGAGCTGACCCGTTCTAACGGTACTTTCATTTCTTTTCTAATGCTTGTTGTAAGATTTTTTTTTAAAGATGATGTTGTAATCTTTTCTGGATGGAAAAGCTTCTCGTGAGTCATAAGTTCGGGATGGCCAGTTCTTTTTATTCGTGGAATAATGAATGGAGGATAGATTATTAATATTTGAGAGTGGAATTACTAATTAAGAGAAAAAGAACTTAACCTAATTTATATAAATGAGTTTGGCTGTATGCCTATGGGCAGAGGCCGAAGATGTAGCACATTTCCATTATAAAAAATATATATAAATGAGTAAATTTCATAAAACACTACCTAGCCTAAGTTACACAAAATCATCTGAATTTTTGGCACGTGACACAGAAGACTCGTAAAAAAAGGCTATAGCTACATGGACGTATCATTTGTATGGTAGATGAAAAAACTCATAAAAATTTGAGATGTGATTGTTTATGACTTAAAAGTAAAGTAGAACAAAGTCAAAATGTACAATAGTATGATTTTATGAAAATATTATGACCATAATACCTGGTGTTACGTGTCATGTTCCAAAATACCTGCGATTTTGTGTCACTTAGATCGTATTTTCTGTGATTAGGTGAAATTTACTCAATATAAACTTATATGGATGAAAATCTAATAGGATCTAAACTATAAAATCTTTAATTTTATGATAACTTTAATATTAAATAAGTAGTTCTGCGATAAATTTAGTGCTAAATATGCTCCATATTTTTTGATACAACATCTTAAACATATAGTGATGTGATAAATTTAGTGCTACATCTGTAATTTTATAATACATCATTTTATATATCTATAGATTTACAATAATTTAATCGATGTATATATACTTTTGTGAAATTTACTCAAATTAAAAATGCAGTTCCTTACCTGTGAAGAAATTCAGGAAAGAAAACGCTTGTCCGAACTCGAACTCGAACTCGAACTCGAACATCCTTAGCCGTTGATTTTCCGGATCGGACGGCTGATAAATACGCGCGGGCCAAAACTAGTTTCCCTACGCACACGCGTTCATCCACTACTCCACCACCCTCCCTCCCTCCCTCCCGTTGGACACACCGACCCCCAAATCGGCAAATCCTATTCGCTCCGCCGCCGCCGCCGCCGCCGCCGTCGCCGGCGATCCTCCACCGAGCCGGCCTCTCTCCTCCCTCGCCGGCGGCCTCCTCGAACGACGTTCGTCCCCCACCCTCCGACACACTCTGTCTACACGCGCGCGGCCGCTGAATCCTCGCGCCTCATCACCCCGTGCTGGGGGGTGCCACCACTGAGGCGGCGGAGGCGGCGGGGGAGGGGAGGGGGAGGATCTCCGGTTCCTCCGCCGGCGCATGCGGTCACTGGTGGTGGGTGGGATTCATCGGGCCCCTCTCGCGCGCGGGGTGGAGGGGGGGAAGTGAGGCCGGGCGGCGGGAAACCCTAGCTCCGGGGCGGTTATGGCGGAGGGGGAGCTGGGGCAGCAGACGGTGGAGCTGGGCGCGGTGGTGCGGCGGGCGGCGGAGGAGTCGTACCTCTCGCTGCGGGAGCTCGTGGAGAAGTCGCAGGACGAGGGCGAGGGGAAGGGTGGCGCCTATGGCGCGCGGCAGCGGTCCGACTCCGAGAAGAAGATCGACCTGCTCAAATTCATCGCCCGCACCCGCCAGCGCATGCTCCGCCTCCATGTCCTTGCCAAATGGTGCCAACAGGTCCGTGTCTCTTCACATTTTATCTTGTTGCCTCCATTTACTGATGTACTCCTAGTCTGTAATGGAATGTGGATAATCGGATGGGTGAATTCCTAGCCAAGAGACTTCAGTCCCCATCTATCCTTGCACGCTTTTCACATTACAAAGGATGTCCATTTTGATTGATTGATTGATTGATGCAAACGGCTTCTATTCAGTAGAAAGATATCCTGGTGTTAACAACATTAATATTTCAGTTAACTTATTTTCCTAGTGTACTGTACTGTACTTTCACCTAGGCCATCTGTAGTGAACTTTCACCAGGTCAGGTTTATTGGTTAGTGGTTACTGTTGGGTGGTTCCAGCTGATCCACCACTCTAGATCTCCTTTTTAAGGGAAGTACACTGTCAGCATATATTGATAACCAGTAAGTTATTGAGTGGATACTGTTGTCATGCTTTTGTACATTTTTTCGAAATGTTGGTGCAGATAATTTTACATTTTTTTAAACCTAGAAACATATATTTTTAAGACTTAAGAACATCATTTTAGTTTTTCTGATATTTTGGTTTGGTGGTATGCTCTAGCAATGCATTTAAGAACATAGTCTCATGTAGTCAAGAAACAGTAACTGAAATCACGATTCTATCTACAAACAATTGTTGCGAACTGATGTTTGGACAAATTCTGTTAAACAGAGGATATATACCTATCATCTGTACAGGTTGAGAATGGAATCTTTAAGGTTGATATAATATTCCATAGGTTATTCTGTCCATGTACTTTGCAGTCTTCTTCTTATACGTGTACTCGTGTAGATTCAAAGTGATTTGCGTGATTCCGCCGAGCTATTGTCTTGCACTAGGTACACCCCTCCAATTCTTCATTTTGTTGTTTCTCAATTGAACCTATCTAATATTTTGGTGCAAAAGCTTTGTTTTTTTGGACAGTTACTCTTCAAAAGATTCATTACTTCTATTTACCAAATAAGATTTTCCTTTTAATTTGTGCAGGTTCCATTGGTTAATTATTGTCAACAGCTTGGATCAACTCTCTCCAGCCATGAAACATGTTTCACACAAACAGCTGATTCGCTGTACTTTATGCATGAGGGGTTGCAGCAAGCTCGAGCTCCTATGTTTGACATCCCTTCTGCTTTAGAAGTCATGCTTACAGGAAACTATCAAAGATTGCCATTATGTATAGAAGATATAGGAAGCCAAAATAAACTTTCTCCGGATGAAGAGAAGCGTGCTTTACAGAAGTTGAATGCAAGCGTGCGGTACAAAGTTCTTGTGACTCCAAGACCCAAAGAAGTTTCTAATGTTTCAGTAGCTGATGGAATAGCTGTTTTTCGTGTGGATGGAGAATTTAAAGTTCTTCTTACACTTGGTTATCGTGGCCACTTAGATTTATGGAGGATTTTGCATTTAGAGGTACTTGTTGGTGACAAAGGCGGGCCTATTAAGCTAGAAGAGAGGAGGAGATTTGCACTTGGTGATGATATAGAAAGACGAATGGCAGTTTCTGAGAATCCCTTCATGGTGCTGTATGCCATACTTCATGAGTTGTGCATCTCACTTGCTATGGACACTATCATTAGGAAGACCAATGTTCTTCGGCAGGGAAGGTGGAAAGATGCAATAAGATCTGAGCTTGTCTTAGATAGCACCACAGGGCAAACTGGGAGTGCTCCTCTAATGCAGCTTGGTCAGGATGGGGAATATGATTTGAGTGGTTCTAGGATACCTGGCCTAAAAATAAATTACTGGCTTGATGAAAAAGCTGGTGGCTCAGCAGAATCTGATTCATCACCATTTATCAAAATTGAGGCCAGGCAAGACATGCAGATAAAGTGCCAGCATAGTTCGTTTATACTTGATCCTTTGACGGATAAAGAAGCCAATCTTTCTCTTGATCTGTGTTGCATTGATGTTGAACAGCTCATTTTGAGAGCAATTGCTTCTAATAGGCACACTCGTCTTCTTGATATCCAGAGACAGCTGTCCAAAAATGTTCAAATTTCTCAGTCACCAAAAGATGTTATCCTCAAACGAGATGTTGAAATAGCAAAGGACCCGGTGAAGGTAATAATAGGAAATATCATTCTTATTTACATTCCTGTTTGTAGCAGCATATTACAATTCATAACAGATCTACTGTTGACTAAACATTAATTCAATATTATATCTGAGCTGAGTTGGTATAGTTTATCTGAATTCAACCTATTCTGGTTTTCCCTTACCTCACCTGTTGCTCTTCCATATTTACAGATTTACTTATAAAAGACAAAAAAATGTTTGGGCAATTAAAAGAATTGAGTACAGTTATAGTGCTGTAGTGCGTTTTGTACTTATTTGTGTAGGTAACTTATATTGTTATGTGCATGCATATGTTAGTTTGGTTGTGCTAAAAATAGTTTACCTTATGATGTTTAAACTACATGTTGTATTGACACTTTTCTGTTTGCTGGCATAATCAAACTATTAGTTATTTTCAAATCTCAAACCTATATACATGATTATATGAAACCAATCGGCCACCTGCTTATACTCATATGCAAAGATGCAATATTTTTCTATCAAAATCTTACAACTAACATATGTTTTCCTACATATTTACACCCGCAAAAGATCTGCAGTGCAGTGTGTGTAGAAGTAACATATGTTTTACTCCCTCTTGTAAGGAGTATAAGATAAGATATGTATATTCTAGGTAAAATTTACAGCTTTAGTTTTAACATCAAATCAACTGATGGTTTGCAAGATGAAATTCTGAAGAACTCCTTACGGAGCATATGATATTTCCTGAGAGGTCTAGAGCTGAACCTTTTGTTTTGTTCAATTTAATATTATTATTGGTTCTGAATCTAGTGAAAAGTGGAGAATGCTTCTATTGAAAGTTGATCTACAGAGGATCTCACCGGGATAGGGGACATAAGTTGTTCCTTTCCTAACTTATCCTTCTCTGCTGTGGTCATGTTTGAATGTGAAATTTCTAATATTGTAGCTCAGTCCATATGTCACCTATATAATTTTTTTCCTGATGGGATACTTTTATATGTATCTGATAACTGAACTGGTAGAATTAGCATGTTAGTACCAAATTTGTTGTCTGAACTCAATAAACCCCTGCGCAGTCACTTGATTCGTGGCATGCTTGCTTAATTCACACCATATCAACCTTTTTTCTGTAATAACTTCTAATGATGTGCAAAGCATTGAAAGATGCGTGCCATCTTAGTACTGATTATTTACTCCAGGATAACATGGTAATATAATTCCTGAACAGATGATTGATAAATGAGGCACAAACATGGAATGATATATTTTTCATGTAGTAATTTTAATTGATGCATTACGGATCTTTTGTTTACATCATCTCCTTATGCAGTTGTGGCTATATATTAATCTTGTTCATTTGATTGAACTTTAATGTTAAACATTTACGAACTTGCGCAGAAAACAGAGCAAAAGGATTTTGCAGATTGTTGTGGAAATGAGGTGCTTCAAGTGAGGGCCTATGGTCAAGCATATATTGGTCTTGGAATAAATATCAGGTTGCTCAATTTTCAGTACTTCATTAACCGCCTCGTGCTAGTCTTCTTTATTTGAAAATAGAAGGTTTCTTTGTTTTGAATAAAATCATTATGCCTGTAATTGCGCAATTCTTTGTCACCTCATCTAGTCAGCATATAGATACACACTATTATAACGATAGTCTCATATTACTTAGCCAATCACAATAAACATTCCAATCAATGAAGTTTCTCACTTCTCGGTGCTTCATTGATCTTACATATTGGATGTACTGTTGTTACTAATGTTATTACGAAATATCTCATTGGTCCTAGTGGTTATCTTTCTAAAATAGAAGAATATTGGTTGCCTTGTCTCATCGTCTGTTAGCTTATAGAACCAGGCTGTTCGAGCTATAAGTAATCCCAAATTACACGGGGTATCAGAAGACACATTCTGGTGCTGAATGACAGACCCGCCTCTTTTACTGATGAATTGATCCTAGCAATTCAAATTGACTGTTAGATTGTTGATTGCCTGTGGGCATCTTTTCCTTCCCTACTCTAAAAGCATGTGGTACCTAAAGTTGTTTGATGGGTATTTTCCTACTTATAATATTGTTCGAACAAGTCTGGTCTGTCCCAGGTTTATACACCTGCTTCAGAATGAGAATCTTGGACAGAGATCGTTCCTTCAATTTTGGAATCAATTTAGACCCATAGTTCCGTACTGACATAGATTGATTAGATTGAAGCATGACTTGCCATTTCAGTGCTTGGCGCTTCTCTCGGGAACATTGTTGTGAATTGGTATAATAGAATATTTCCGCCCATAGTTGAGCACTGAATGATATAGCGTGCTGACAGTTTTGCTGTTTGCCTTGTTGCAATGATACCATCGTACCGTCTATGTATTGCACACGAACTCTTGACTGACTTTTTCTTTTTCTTTCTCCTAATATTTTAACTCTTTCCTAACTTTAATAGGAGCGGTCGTTTCCTCCTCCAGTCGCCGGAAAACATCTTACCCCCTTCTGCACTGCTAGATTGTGAAGAAGCTCTAAATAAAGGGAGTATTACAGCTACTGATGTTTTTGCAAGCTTAAGAACCAGGAGCATCCTCCACCTATTTGCTGCTACTGGAAGTTTTTTTGGCCTTAAGGTTGTCAAACTGTCTTGATCATATCTTAACTTCTTGACCATTGAAATTTGTAACACATGTATACAAGAATGTCATTGTGAGTGTGTGCAGACACACTTTTTCAATTTTATTGAATAATAATATCCTTAAAAATAGCATTATGAGGACATGTTTTTCCCCTGTAGACCCAGGATTTAGTTTGTGCTATTTATTTGCTAGTCAAACCTTTTTCTCTTGACGATTAGCCCATGGTACAAAAAATGTGTTTGTAAAGAGCATTAAAAAAATGCATGCAGCCATATATCATAGTCACTACAATCAATATGATCTTAATAATGCTTAGCTGTCACCTGTCGGACAACTCATGTGGTTCTGAAGTGTGAACCAACAACATTTCTGAAAGATTTTTTCACTTAGGGTCAACATGTTAATTACTGATATTTCCACTATTCGCAACCTTATGAACTTTCTTCTGTGTAGTCTGCTGATAAGAGTGTCTGGATGTGGTTACACAGTTGCCATCCTTTAGTTACTAAGCTAAGTTTGCTATGGTTCCTAGGTATGATGTGCTAAAATTCTGTTATTTTCCAGGTTTATGAGAAGTCTCAAGGTACTCTAAAGATTCCAAAGGACATATTGCATGGTTCAGACCTGATGGTGATGGGATTTCCACAGTGTGCAAATGCCTATTATCTATTGATGCAACTTGATAAGGACTTCAGGCCTGTTTTTCATTTGCTTGAGACACAATCTGATGCAAATGATAAGACAAACACAAATGCATGCACAAAGGAAGCTTTGAGGTTTAATAAGATTGATATTGGACAGATACAGATTAGTAAAAGTGAATCGAATACAAATATGTTTGATGCGAAGCTGCATGCCCTACAGAATATAGGGAATTGTGATGACGTAATGGAAAATAGACTCCCCATTCAAAGTGGCATTGAGCCTCTTCCACTGCTGCCTGCTTGTTCACCATCGTTCTCTTCTGTTGTTGATGAAGTTTTTGAATATGAACACGGGGCTCTTGCTGTTCCAAACCATTCTTTGCCGCAAACTACTTTGCAGTCTACCTCTCATCCAGGTTCTCTTTCTGTTGGTTTTCAAGGAGTAGGTACTAGAGCTAATGCATCAATTGAAGGGGCCTCATCAGCTTACAGTGGATCAAAATTTTCTCCCGGGGTTGGTTTGAACAGTTATTTACCAAGTAATTTGAGACATGTACAAAGTACAAACGCCTTTTCCTCAAGCACTGTAACAAAATCATCTTCAATCAAGTTGCCAAGTTCTAATTCTAATCATGAACTGAGCTCATTGAGCTCTCCAACTGAACATGTGATTGCTGATGGAAGTAAATCACTTCAGCTCGTCCCTGCAAGCAAGATTAATGGTAATTAAATCCCTGCTCAAAGTTCATATACAGGCAGTTTTGGAATAAGTTTTATGATAAATTAGATAGTTTTATAGTTTCTCTCCCTCAAACAAATTTGTCCAGCCACCTTGCACAGGCCAAGACACCAAATCAAAAAACTGTTAATAATAATATGGGCCATGCACACCCTATTTAATGGAATTACAGATGTATTCAAATTTGTATCAGTAAGATAGTGGTGGAGAGTGCAAATATAATATAATCATATTCTTAATTTCCCATTGAACTTCATTTTGAAGCAACACATAGCAATAAAATGGACTTAGGCTTTGTTTGTTACTGGTATGGATTATGATAATCTCCTTTGGTGCAACTGCTTTTAGTCATTTTTTTTCCTGTTTGGTGAACTGCTTTCCTTTTAATATCAAAGTTAATGATAATACGAATTGTATTAAAAAAGATTGCGCACTTGTGAGAAAACATTACCGTTGAATGGCATACTTTCTGTAACATTAATTTGATATGTAAATCAAACCACAAGGATTATATAGTTACATTTCTATAGTAATTTAAAAATAAGCACGGTGCAGCACAGCAACCAGAAAATAAGCCTTTGGTTGTGAAGGGGTTATAGTGAATATGTTTATCTTACTTGGGCATTTTGGCAGGATCAATCAACCTTATCACTATGGGCTCTGATGGTGCATCTAGAAAGCGTTCTATTTCAGATTTATTTCTGAACCTCCCTTCATTGCAAGGATTGAAACCCAGTAGCCCAAGGAAGCGAAGAAGAATATCAGAATCAATGGAGAGTTGGTCTCCTTTGCAAGCATATTCATCAGACTCACAATCAAGAACAAGCCTCACCTACGGAAATATTCTGGCTGAAAGAAATAATTGTGTCCCAGCAACTACATATGCTTCGGTGCTACTACATGTCATAAGACACTGTTCATTGTCCATTAAACATGCTCAAATAACTGCCCAGATGGATTCTCTTGCCATTCCATATGTTGAAGAAGTGGGCTTACGATCACCATCCTCTAATCTTTGGCTAAGGTTACCTTTTGCTCGGGATGATTCTTGGAAACACATATGCTTACGCCTCGGCAAGGCTGGAAGTATGTCTTGGGATGTTAGGATAAACGATCCACATTTTAGGGAACTCTGGGAGCTAAGTACAGGAAGCACCACAACCTCATGGGGTGTTGGTGTTCGTGTCGCAAACACCTCTGAGATGGATTCGCATATCTCTTTTGATGCAGAAGGTGTTATTTTAACTTACAGCAATGTTGAACCAGACAGTGTTCAGAAGCTTGTGTCAGATCTACGAAGGCTTGCAAATGCCCGTTCATTTGCCCGTGGAATGAGGAGATTGATTGGTGTCAAACTTAATGACAAGCTAGATGATGATCAGACATCTACGGATATAAAGTCGCAGCCTGTTAATAAGGGTAATAGTGATGCTGCAGACAGGCTATCTGAACAAATGAGAAAGACTTTCAGGATTGAAGCTGTTGGCTTAATGAGCTTGTGGTTCAGTTATGGCACAATGCCTATGGTACACTTTGTTGTTGAGTGGGAAAGTGCTAAGGGAGGCTGCACAATGCATGTTTCTCCTGATCAGCTTTGGCCACACACAAAGGTTTGCCAGTTTTTCTTTAGTTTTCTACTTATGTTTTTCTACTGAGAATGTTTAGTTATAATCAATTTCACATAAATGCAGTTTTTGGAGGATTTCGTGAACGGTGGTGAGGTAGCATCCTTCCTGGACTGCATTCGGCTGACAGCAGGGCCTTTGCTTGCCCTTGGGGGTGCAATTCGTCCAGCAAGAATGCCTGTAACGGTTTCTTCTGGATACAACTCCATGCCAAAGCAGATGAACAACATCCCCACCCAGGGACCATTAGCAAATGGTTCATCATCAACAACCATGCATCACGCACCTTCCCCCGCAAATGTTGCTGCCACCCATTTGGGAAGTCATAATCTCCACACTGCTGCGATGCTTTCCGCTGCTGGACGGGGTGGGCCTGGACTTGTTCCTAGTTCTTTGCTGCCCTTTGATGTTTCTGTTGTGCTCCGTGGGCCATACTGGATACGCATTATATATCGGAAGAAATTTTCTGTTGACATGCGCTGTTTCGCTGGGGATCAGGTTTGGCTACAACCAGCAACTCCTCCTAAAGGAGGACCTCTGGTTGGTGGATCGTTGCCGTGCCCACAATTTCGACCATTCATAATGGAACATGTTGCTCAGGGTCTAAATGCTCTTGAACCCAGTTTCATGAATGCTACACAGGCCGGTGCGCATTTAAATAGCAGTGCTGGAACTCTGCAACCTGCACCCAATGCAAATCGTGTAAACGCGACTCAAGGTATTGGTATGTCCAGGCCTGCTTCTGGAGTTGCTAACCATGTAGCAGCCAATTTGAGTCGAGCAGGTAATGCCATGTTGGCCTCTTCAGGACTTGCTTCAGGGATTGGTGGGGCCTCTGTGCGACTAACATCTGGAGCTAACCTCCCTGTTCATGTGAAAGGAGAGCTGAATACAGCTTTCATTGGGCTTGGGGATGATGGTGGCTACGGTGGTGGTTGGGTTCCTTTGGCAGCTCTCAAGAAGGTTTTAAGAGGGATCCTCAAGTACCTTGGAGTTCTATGGTTGTTTGCACAATTGCCTGAACTTCTGAAAGAGATACTGGGGTCGATTTTGAAGGAAAATGAGGGTGCTCTCTTGAATTTGGATCAAGAGCAACCTGCACTCCGGTTCTATGTGGGGTAAAATTACTGTTCTAATCTCTACTATTGCTTGAGAACCTGAAGTGTGTTGTCATGTTTTGATATCATAAAAAAATGTTATTCACTTCTACATTGAAGTAAGCTACAATAAAATAGTCGATTGCTAATCAGGGTTCAAAAACGAATGGCAACCAGCCAGTCACCGGTCTAGGGTAGTTGAGTGGTTATCAGCTGGAAGGATGCGAATTCAAATTGAAAAAGAATATAATATTTACTATTTAAATTTAGATTTTGTTTGGCCAGCCACTTTTCAAAATTTCAAATATTTGGATCTAATTTTTTTGTCCAGAAAAATTTGGTAATTGTCCAGTTACTGGTTTTCACCAGGGTCCAGTACTTCTGGCAAAACTGGCTTTGGAACCTTGGGGTCAATACTCAATAGCCCAATAATCTTATTGTACATAGGCAGTTCCCATCCATATCACTCTAGTGTTAACAATATTGAGCTCTTCCTGATTTTCTTTGGGAAATTGTGCCACTGCCCAGTGCCCACTACCCTTGAATGCTTCTTTTTTTTTTCTTTTGTAGTGACTATTGTTCTGATGTTCATTTTATTTATTGGGCTGTGATCAACATAACTATGCAAACCTAGTCTCAAGCGATAAGCTGGAAAAGTGACTCTTTATGCAGCTCAAAGTGCTTCTTATTTTTGTGTTCTTTCAATCAAGTTCAAGTATTGAAGAATTTATTATCTCTGGTAAATATTTTCTTCTATCTTGCAGAGGTTATGTATTTGCAGTTAGTGTTCATCGGGTTCAATTGCTTCTACAAGTTTTAAGCGTCAAGCGATTCCATCACCAGCAACAGCAGCAGCAAGCTCAGAACAGTGCACAGGAAGAGCTAGCTCCACCTGAAATCAACGAGATATGTGATTATTTCAGCAGGCGTGTTGCCTCTGAACCATATGATGCTTCCAGAGTTGCTTCATTTATCACTTTGCTTACACTACCGATTTCAGTGCTGCGAGAATTTTTAAAACTAATTGCTTGGAAGAAAGGTTTCTCCCAGGCTCATGGGGACATGGCCACTGCTCAGAGAGCCCGGATTGAGATTTGTCTGGAAAATCATTCAGGGTCAGTTTCAGATGATATCACAGAAAGCACTTTGGCTAAGAGCAATGTTAAGTATGATAGAGCCCACAGTTCTCTAGAGTTTGCTCTGACCTTTGTACTTGATCATGCTCTCATTCCTCATATGAATGTAGCTGGCGGAGCTGCCTGGCTTCCGTATTGTGTATCCGTACGACTAAAGTATTCTTTTGGGGAAAGCAACCATATAGCATACCTTGCAATGGACGGTAGCCATGGTGGCAGAGCTTGCTGGTTGCAATACGAGGACTGGGAAAGATGTAAGCAGAAGGTCGCCAGGGCAGTGGAGACTGTGAATGGCTCTGTTGCGGTTGGAGAATCAGGCCAAGGAAGATTGCGAATGGTCGCCGAGATGATCCAAAAGCAACTTCAGCTCTGTCTTCAGCAGCTGAGAGATGGTCCTCTTTCTGCTGGCTCAACTGCATCATGAGCAGACAAGTCTGTTGGGGGAATTTAGTGGCCAGGTTAGAGAATTTTGTCGCAACAGTTTGTCTCATTGAGTGCTGGGGATAGTCTCAGCGCCAAAGGCTCTTATTGTTATGAATGTTTTGTACAGTAAAGGTGTGAAGCCCTTGTGTTGCTTAACCTAGCCCCTTCCTGTAACATAGAAAATGTGGGTAATAATGCACCTAGGTGTGGTTGCTCATGGACTTCAGCAGTGCAAATTCAGCATAGATCTGTCCATACAGAATTTGTTATTCCTTTTATCAGAAGGGAGCTGGTGTTTTTGTTGCTGTTAATTTAGACATTTTATCAGGTTTGAGCAGTGTAGTGTACATTATATATAATATACTGGACTTGGACTAGCATTCTGTTTGTAAAATTAGTACTCCCAGTAAAACTAGGCTTTTTGTGCTGTATACTAATTCTTCTTTTTTGTGTTGTCTGGCGTAATAAAGAATTCACTTCATTGTTTCAGTATATTGCGCCCTGCATTTCATTGATCTCACACTATAGCCTGCATCGACTCTGAACATTGTACTTAATTTTTCTTAAAACTGAAACCAGGTGTCGGAAGCCAGATTTTAACTCATCATTAATTATGTTCCAAGCTTTTGTAGGGATTGTATTTTGGGTATACTAGATTTACCTACAAATAGCAAGTACAATCGTGAGTACAAAGAAGCTTGTCTGTATCTGTTTGTATCGAACTTTTATTTGGCTCCATCGTTAGGCTACTTATGCTTCTCTATGAGGATAGAGACTAATAGATTATCGTAATAGTTAATCCATGTCAGGTCAGGCCCATATAGTTAAAAATAAACTAGGAGCTCATATGTTAACGGCCCTGGATCAGGCCCATATAAGTAGAAATGAACTGGAAGCCCGTATGTTAAGGGGTCTGTCCTATATAATTAGGAAGTGAAAGCTCGTATGTTAACGGCCCTGGATTAGGCCCATATAAGTAAAAATGAACTTAAGGAGCCCGTATGTTAACAGGCCCGCCTATATAATTAGGAAATGACTATGGTCATTTTATCACGTATGGGCGTGTTGCGTATGTTGGAATGAAGGGATGACAGGAGAACGACTTCACTTTTCAAAAAGTAGAGATAATAACTGACATGTTACTATTGTGTTGTAATGAAACTTTAAAAACGAAGAACAATGCCCTTAATAGGAGCAAAAGACTTGGCAACAACCAGAATAATATATTATTTAATCGTGAAAATGCCATGCCAGGGTCACCTGTCAGAATCGTGTGCCATCACGTTTTACAAAGTATGTTTAAGTTTTACATGTAAGCTGTCTACCCACTAGAGTTTCGACCAACCACTACTGGTCAATTCCACTTTGAGGTCACCCTAACTCTACCATCATTATAGGGGTATGGGGTTTGAGACAAAAGAAGGGTATCAGTTTTTTTCTATATACTACATTCGTTCCAAAATGTTGCTACCTAGTACTAGTAATTGGACACTTGTTAGTACAACGAATATAGACAGGAAGTATCCGATTTCGTACTAGGTAGCAATATTTTAGGACGGGGAATTACTTTACTTGATCCATTTTTATGCTATTAGATATTATGTTGATTCTTCTCCAAACAGGAACACCAACTTACAAATTTTATCAACTGCGGATTTTAGTGAGACAGGTAAACCCTAAAAAGTTTCTTCACGGAAAACAGTGGTTGGTGGTGGTTTATGTCATATTCACCTCACTTCAATCATTCTTTTAAAATATGAGTACATATACAGATAGGATATTCTATTAGTAGATACTAGTTGATACCCTGTGCGTTGCAACAGGCATACGCTATAAAATTTTCCAAGTGCATAAAATAGATGCAAATTGGTCACTGAATCAGCATATATACGAAGAAAAGGATATTTACAATGCTGAGATAGAAATGCGCCTAAATGTTTGTTTGAACATATACAGTTCAATTAGGAAAGCAACCCCAATTCATGGTACATGGTATTCTACCATACTGAGCTGGTCGATTTGCTGGATTGCTTTGAAGATATGGTAGATGTAAAAATCAGGATTAGCCTCTTAGCAATATGATTAACTGAGTAAGTTTAAAACTTTATTAAACATAAATGGTATCTCACCTTCAGCAGACTTGAACCTTTAAGGAAAGTTAGTAGAACTGCAACTCAATTCTAGCAAGTAGCAACATGGCTGCCTTCTTCTCATCCTCTGGATAAAGCTAGGCTACATAAAGGCCATATTTATAGCATCTCTAACATGTATTCCAAGAAATCTATATATATTTTGGAACCGAATTCATACTGAAATTTATGGTTCGAGCACGTTAGGTGTACATCAAATTTGAGAAACGTGGTGTACTTTGCCCAGCATCCATTGGGTAAGCCCTTTGTTTTTTTATTTCAATCAACAGAGCTACTGGTTATATATTTTCAAATTATTGAAACTTTGCAAATTCAATCATGAGGGATACTGAATATATATTTTAAAATTATTGGAACTTTGCGAGTGTAGGATCTTAAAACGCATGAGCTATATTTGAAGCATGAAATGCAATGATAGGATAACGAAAGAAAACGACGGGTGCACGCAGCATGACCAACATAGGATAAGGTAAAAAAAACACATACCAGTAATATGCTTTGATGGGAGTCCTTTGCTAGGAAGATTATCCGTTGGTATGACAATCCTCGTATTTTTCCCCATGTGCTGGAATATCCTTCTATCTATTAAATCCATAGCACAATAAGCATAGGTCGCCAGCAGTATAAATCTTCTTTTTAAGAAGCTAACTTCTTTTAAGAAACTAAAAAATAGTCAATACACAAGTGTAGTACTACTAATAGTCGTTCTTTATTTAAGTTAGCATAAACAATTCATCAAAAACTTTTAGCTCGATAAGTAAACATAAGCAATTCACATATACAGAATTGTTATACAAATTATTATAAAAAAATTGTAGCGTTTAGTAGTTTAGGAAACGTGCGCATGAAAGATAAGTATAAGTTGAGAAAGTTGGGGAAAGAACACAGTCTAAATATAGCAGTAGGCTTGTAGTCTTGTACTGTTAAACTTGCTCTTATACAATGACATGGGTTGTGAAGATCATGCGCGCGGAACGGAAGTAGCGGGTGTCCGTAAATTAGCAAAATCAAAACCACCCAATAGACTTTGGAAACATGCTCATTTAGTACTAACTATATAAGTAAATAGTAGTTCTCTATTACACAATGTGTAAAACACACATTTTTTCTTGTTAAAATTAAAAAAAGAAAAAAATTCACAACCAGCTGTCCGGGAGGAGGTCGATGTTCTGGAACCTGAAGGACGAGTCCTTGCCGCCCTTGGCGCCGCTGCCGGGGGCCTCGTCGCCGTCGCCACTGGGCGGCGGCGCGTCCCCTTCCGCGTCGGACGGCGGCGGCGACGGCGGCGACGGCAGCATGAGCATTGTCGGCGGCGGCGGCAGCGGCGGCTTGGCCACGACGTCCTTGATGGCGAGGGCGGTGTCCCACATGAGGAAGTGGAGCGTGATGGGGCGGAGCGCGTGGCGGTGCAGCGACAGCTTCTGGCTGAGCGACACCGTGTCGAAGCACTTGACGTCGCCGGCGGTGGACACCATCCAGGGGAGCACCTTCTCGCCGCCGACGCGCGACACCACCAGCAGCCGCGACGCCCTGCGCGCGGCGCGGTGGAGCTCCAGGAGCCCCGACCGCGTCGACGCCACGCCGGGCGTGCTCTCCTCCGCCACCGACGACACGTAAATGAACCCTTCCTCGGTGCGGCTGATGGCGAACCCCAGCCGCGTGTCCCCCGGGAGCAGCTTGATCTCCAGCGCCGCCTCGCCGGCCACCGGCGTGTACCACAGCCGCACGGCGCGCACGACGCCGATGTCCACGCCGTGGTAGTCCTCGAACCCGTACAGGCTGGCGTTCGCCATGTTGGCGAGGTCGGACAGCGAGCCCATGTTCACCGTCGACAGCGCCATCTCGCCGGAGATCTTGGTGAGCAGCGCCTCCGTCTGGACGTTCATGAAGGCGACGGGGACGCCGGCGGCCTGCGACGACACCAGCCACGCGTCGGCGCGGGCGAGGGTGTCCTCCAGCGACTTGTACCGGGTGTGCGACCCGTCGGCGGACTTGGGCAGCAGCAGCATCGACAGGAAGCAGCTCGCCGCCGGCACCGGCAACAACTCCTTCATCTTCTTCTCCCACGGGAACGATTCGTAAGCGTAGCTGATCTTCGCGTCGCGCAGCGCCGCCAACACCTTGGCATTCTTGGATCCTTCATCAAAGATCAAACTATCAAACACTTATTCTTGATTATCACAATCTCAATCTCATCATATGCATGAGTTGAGTCCATTTGATATGCAATTAACCTAATTAAATTAGTATGTGAAGAACTGGAGATTAATTAGAAAAGGAAGTGCGAATGCTGTGCAGATTAACTAACAATTCTTGATGATGCCAATCTCAATCTCATATGAGTCCATTTGATATGCTAATTAATTAGTATTTGAAGAGCTGATGATTAGAAAAGAAAATACAAGTTCTGTGCAGATTAATAAACAATTCTTCATTATAGAAATGAGTTTTGGATCAAGGAACAAAATTAATCAAATGCTCACAAGTGGTCTCCACATTGATCAGTGATTAAGATCACTTGTTTACTGAAAGATATGCAACCTTGGCATGCGTTTTCTTTGACATTATTCAGAATGTCACAAAGATCAAGACATGCTTTGCAAGTGGAATTATTTTGCCTTCTTGATTTCTAAGCTGCCACTCTGCCAGTGTTTAAGGAAGCATTGGAGATCTAGCTGGCCGATGCTCTTCGCTCCATGAACTTGTTGAGATCCAAATCCAACAGAAAATCCAGTGGGAATCTTTTAACCAAATTGGCAGCTAGAAAGATATCATGGTCATGAAGTAAGAGGCTCCGAATGCAGATATTTTTAATAAAACAAGTGAGATAATGAGCACAATGCACGAGTCAATTGTTGCTTAACTGTCAGACAAGCATATGTTGGAATTTCGAGTGAAAAAAATAGTACATATGCAGGCATTTCTAAAATGGCTGTGCACCTAAAAAATTTGTGGAAAATTTTGCTTATATTTTTATGCTAGTAATGAATCAAGTAGACCATTTGTGGGTGCCACGTTTCAGTACTCCTTTCCTTCAGTATGACTAGAGCACTGCCAAGTTTTCAGATCCAACCTAAGATTGCATTATCTATAAAAGAAAGTGTGCTGATAAATGTATGGACTATTTGAGAAAGGGACTGCTCAATAAATTTGATCTGCTGTCCAAACTGATATAAGCCACCAATTTGATTAGCATGGGACCCAAGGTATTTTTCTTATGCTCCAGAACATTAAAAGAGCAGGCCAAGAAAGAAAAGGGGAGCCTGCTTGTTAGACTTTGTGATATATGAAAGCTACATCTGGGAAAGAGACAATTTTTCATGTTCTTCAGCTAGTTCAGCAGCTAAGATCTTTAATATGAAAAGGCAACTTTCATCCTCTATATTTGCAAAAGAAAAAAAGAAGAAGAAAAAAAAGAAGGAAATGCAAGAATTAAAAGATAACTATTAACTAGGCGAGGCTTAAGAGGAATGGTTGGATTACTTTACCAAAGAAGACAAGGAAAAGGGACAAAACCCAGCAATTCTGTGTTCTTAAGGAAAATTAAGAATGGCAATATATGTTCCAAACTACGGAAAATTTATTTCTTGTGTACTTAGTGTAGCTTCCAAGAACATGACCCAACATTAATTCTATTAATTACAGGGGAGACTTCGCTGGATAATCATCGATGCTTACGGCGCCACTGAATCATATTGGGATATCTTTATTACAGTACATCCTAACTTCCGTGGTGTTAGTACATGTCTTTCCTAAACATGTCACTGTCATGAATGACAAAAATATTGTGATTAAACAGTAGAATTAGGTGAATACAAAAATGGGTGAGCTCTGCAACTAACAACTTCCACGACCATCACTAACCAATCATAAGTCATTGCTTGTTATATAGTTTTTGCAACAGGGAATAAACATCACAGTACTTAAGAGGGGGGGGGGAAAATGCAATTAAAAAAATCAGCAAGTCCTAACGCACGTTCCCTGATTTGTTGTATTTCATAAAAAAAACATGTGTTCTGGTAATGAAATCCCATTAAAGTAGAAGATGAAATATAAACAATAGTATTAGGAAAAGTATTAAACGAATTATCGATTTATTCATTTTTGCTAACACTATCTTTTAAGACTAATTTATTCTCATTGGTGAATGGACAAACAATTAACAGTTTTGTTTTTTTAGTTTGTTGCATAAACCCCAGCTGTGAACAGTTTACGAAGACTGACTTCAATTATGTGTTTTTAGGTGAGTGTTACACACTTGCTATCATGCGTTCGATTCTCACTATTATAAGCTGGTGCCTTGCGACAATAATCCATAGATAGTTGACTAGTTAAAAAAAATCTAGCACCAAAAGAAAATGCAGAAATGGTTATCGAGAATTTCACGTTGTTTTAAATTTTCACCAAACCATATAAAATTCGCTCTAATTTCACCTAATTGATCCAACGAAGCAGATAAACGGAGAAAAATTAGAACGAATTACTCCAATTAAGGGGGGCAGGCAGGTCGGCTGCTCACCGTCGAGCTCGCCGCTCTCGCCGTCGACGGAGGAGCAGGTGTCGTCGCCCCTCCTCCCGCCGCCGCCGCGCCTCCCGGAAGACGACGACGCCGCCCTGCTGCTGCTCGCCGCCGACGTCGACGACGACCCGGACGCCGACCGGCTCAGCAGGTCCCCCTCCTGGTCGCCGCCGCCACCGCCGCTGCCGGGGTGGTGGTGGTCACCGCCGCGCTTGAACGCCGACTTGAGCAGCTTGTGCACCTTCCCGCCGCCGTGGTGGTGGTGGGCCCCCTTCCCCGCCGCCGCCGCCGCCGCATCCGGGTGGTGGTGGTCGGTCGGCATGGCTTGCTAGCTTCTTCGTCTCCGGCGCCGGCGAGCTGCTCGCTTCTCGGCGGCGGCGGCGGCGATGGAAGAAAGGGACAGTAGAGGTTTTGGTAATTTGGTTTGGTTTTGTTGCATTTGATTTCGAGGGGTTCAGGTTATTTATATATGGGGAAGAAGGGGCGTTGGGATCTGAGGTGGGACTAAAAAAATTGTGGATTAATATTGTATCTGGGCCGTCCAATCGCGTGCGGATGGTCCCGATCCACCGCTGGGAAGAAATTGGAGGGTTGGGATTCCGAGATTTTTGTTTCGCTTTTCCGGACAATCGCGTTGGTTGTAGAGGGACAGGCTCAATCAACTGATACGCAGCCAATCACGTCCGTCCACACCTATCTCAATAAGGCATAAGGGCACCCAGAATGGTTATCTATAGGCTCTCTATAAGATATCCATATCAGCATATTTTTCTACTTGGAAGAGATTAAATGAAGAGAGAGAGCAAAACTATCTACTAACCTGGAGATAGTCTATAGAGAAAAACGAGGCAATGTATTATAGAGCTATAGATACCCATGTAGACATACTATTGAGGTGGTTTATTATTAATCTAGTCTATTGCTGAGATGTACATGTTTTATAGAGAGCACCTTACTTTACTATTGTGGATGCTCTAATAGTCACACGGTTAGGGAACTATTTTATTTCACTATATCCTTCATACGTGTCTTGTGTAGTACTGCATCTATAGTCTATACAAGAATCCTCGTCACTGAGCCTGCTATCATCTGTAACAAGTTTGTGTTTAACATTGGATGGGAAAATAGAATCACAATTTGGTTGGCAAAAGAGAGGTGTCTAATTGAGAGATGCATTTGATAGTACAGTTGTAAGGGATAGAGATCCTCTGTAGTCAAAGTCACGTGTCTTTGTCACTAATATATTAGGGCCCATATGTCAATGATAAAGGCACCGTACATTTGACTGCAGAGGATCTCAGTCTAGTTGCACGAGGTGTGTAGTTTCAATTCTAAGGTCTTGTGTTCAATTCTCAACATGTTCATAATTTTTTCTTAGAAAATGTTCGGATGGACGTCTCTCCTCAAAATCTCTTTTGAGTGGTGTCTAATTGGGGCAAAAGGTAAAAAAAATAATAATAAAAGAATCTTGCAACAAGTAAAGCATTGAATAATTAGGCTATTTTATGTTGACTAAAATAGTGTAAATTTAGGAAGGGTAATGCGGGAAAATGAAGAGAATAGATTAACTCTCAAAGTCAGGGAAGCAAAAGCATATGACCCATTGACCTGAAAGGTGGGCCCGAAGGAATCCAGGGGCAAGAAATGGTGAACTGCACCCAGAGAAACTATTCAAGGTAAACATGATGCACATGATCAGATTAACACAGGGTTCAGAAATTCAGATCAAAGAAGCTGGAAACATTCAGCAGCAGAAATTTTGTCTTCTGTATGTAATCCATCCACCAATGATGCATTTACCTTTAGTACTATTATTATTTTCTTTAGTTCTGAATAGATTAGTCCACTCAAATGATGATAAACTCAGAGCAGAAACCAAGGTGCCAAACATCAAGGGCGCATTGTTCTAGGTCAAGCTCTCGGATCAAGCAAGATCGAACAGGTTAACTTCTGTTTGTTCATCATTGGTCAAGAGCTCTGCCATTCACTAATGATCAAGTTAACTTCAGTTCAGTTCCAAGTAAAAAAAAAAAACTGAACTTTCAGAAAATTCAGTTTAACAGGGGACCAAGAACGCATTCACTTGCAAAGAAAATACGATCTGATCAATTCCGAGGCCAGAATTTCTGCAGAGGGATATGAAATCTCCAAGGTAGATTCTAACTAGCTACTGGTAACTAGTGACCTGGTGTCAACTGATCAATCAACTTTGTTTTGACTACTGGTCCAAATTTGCTGTCTAATCTTGACATTCCAAGCAGATGATCACTAACTCTGACCTCCCGAATTGTACCCAAAACATTTCTTTTTACCAACTACTACTATCTAGTTGCCAACTTGACATGCAGGATAATCACTTGCCTATGGCTATGATCTGCTTGATGGCATGCAGTTTGCATTGCTAATTTTTTATTTGTGCAGTACAAACGAAGTAAAGTGTGAAACATTATTGAAGAAAGAAATTGAACGGACAGATTAATTTGATTCCAACCTAATTAATTAACTGATCAGTTAGTCAAGGGAGAAATTGGAGTACCTTTGGTTGGACTTGTAGGTGAGGAGTTCTTCAGCTTTGGAACGCTCTTTGATCGAATAAGCTTCCAATCCATGCCGATGAATTCGACTTCTTGAAATAGTAGGATCTCAAAATCAGTTTCTACTCTCTCTCCCCCTTCTGAACCAAGAAATTCAGCTATGATCCTAGCTTCCCTTGAACAGAACTAATTTCAGGAACAATTAATCCTCGATTTGTTCAAGGTAGAGAATCATCCAATGCCAGGTTCCTTGTTGCAATGCTGATCTTATGCTTTGGCTATATACCTATAAGATGCCAAGGGCAAAATGCCATTACTTCCAATGTAATTGGTTTGTCTGAAGATGAGAGCTAGCTTCTACATTATTCCAGATTCTGAACCAATTGAAAATTTGACATATAATTTTCTTTGCGTTCATATCCAAATTAGACTGCAAGAATTCTGATGGAGACAGGTGGACGGTGCATAGAATTCATCTCCACCATCACAAACCAAACAGTGAACTTCTGATAATAGCAAAGCTGCAATGCAGTACAGTCTATGCTTATTGTCAATTCAGTAAGTAGTCTTTTTAGACAAAAGTACAAATTGAAACAAATTTTAAATTGTCCAACTGTACTCAAACTTTATTGGCCCAACCAAACAGGAATTCAGGAAACATATATTAGGCCAACTGGTTGGCTTCTCGCTCATTGTGCAATATACAATCTGATCATGCAAATAGAAGTAATTTTCAAGTATCAGAATCAAGCTATTTTTCAAATACTAGTTACAGCATTGGCCTGTTCTTGAAAAGTACTAGTGTACTGCAAACTGTAGCCATTGTACCTGTTTTTTGAATGCTGTGAACAAAACAACCTATGAAAGCTAGAATATTTTCTTAATTACTTTGAATGATCCATTGTGCCATGGTTTTTAACAGACAGTATACTTCCAGTAATCGTACTTGATGTTTTTGCAGCATCAAAATTAATCACAGTGGATGCTCTAATGCCCAATAAAATGAAAGGAAGGATTATTTTTTCAGAGCCAACCAGTGATATGTCCTTAACATGTAGGCAACACATTGAAAAAGGGGACTTTGTTTGTGTGCAAGTGGAAGGATTTATTATAATGAGGCCAGCAGGCAGATTAATTCAGCTGCAGCTTGCATATATACTATTATGCTGTAGTACACTGAATCAGGCAGTGTCCTTGGTCTTGGGGACTTGGCAGTGATTAAAGCTTCTTGATTCTAGAAAGAAAACACACCTAAGAAAATGAGCAACCATGAACCATCCACACATATAGTACTGATTGATTGTAAAGTCAACAAAAGATCATGATGCTCGGCAACCTTCCACTGGAGTTTCGGTGTTGGAAGTGCAGCTGGAATGCATGATTCCTCATGGAATGATGAAAAATCATTGAATCTTCATGTTTCTTTATGTTAATTAATTCTTTTGGTGCAGGATAAGACATTTCAGTATGTCATGAAAAGATAAAGAAATAAAACAAGAGGTTATATGAAATTCTTGAAGGTAAATAACTAAATACGGGCAGATTTTGATTTGCACATTAAAATTGCAAAAGGATAATTGAGGTGTTGTTATACCTTAAGTTCATTTTCAGATTAAATTTCACACATATACAGTTACCTTGACAAAACTATCAAAAAATTACAGGTTTGAGTCTATTAAAAAACTACATATTCAGTATAGAATTTCGAGATAATAAGTACAGTCACCAAATTTAGATTCAGCAATGAATTTTTCACAAAACTAGGGATTTACAAATAGATCACTAGGACTATGGTTATGATGATACTTTTGAAATTTGTAGTTTATGATACATTTGGTGCTAAATCTTTTTGTTTTAAGATACTTGGCAGATATATGTGATTTTGTAACAAATTCAATGTTAAAATTTTAATTTGAGATATTGCGTCTTGAATCTATAGTTTTGCTATAATTTTATCGAAATATCTGTAGTTCCTGAATTTTATCATATTGTTTTGCGATAATTTTGTCAAAACTAGTTTTGTTTCGCTCAGAACTCTAAAGACATCACAAATGAACCGTTTCTCCTCTTATTTTCTGAAAATCAAGTCTCCTTATCTTCCAGCTCAGAGCTGAAGTCCTGTGAAACAGTGCATGAACAGTGTTGTCATGTTGGGTGTATCATTCTCATCTCTGCATCAAGATGGAGAGACACTCACAACCTTTTTTAAAGACATTGCTTTCCAGGTTTTCAGTAGGGGACAATGGATATACTTGAATCTATCTGTTAGTAACCTTGAAAGATCCCCTCATGGAACTTTGGAAGGATCCCCAGCTTCTGATTTTTGTGCATCAGGAAGATATATTGGAAAGAGGGAGCTGAAACAAGGGGCTCTTCTTGGAAAATTCCCCAGACTAGCTTGGAACTTGATATGTAGAAGCTTCTTTTTCTGGACTTCTCCCTTCATTAGAGGAATAATAATAATAATACCAGAGAGATGTGATCATGGTAATTAGACAAGGTAACATGGAAGTTCCTGAGTTCTGAAGAAAAGTTGTGTCCAAATTGCATGAAGGATATAACAGAATATGTCACATCTCACAAAGCTTGGGCATTGTTTTAAGATTTCACTGTTAGCATAAGGCCCACTACACTACATGATTCATTCACTCATTGCTCAAGAATCAAACCTGTGGGTTGTGCAAAAGATAAGTGCCTGCATTCTTCACACCTGAATATTTGAAGCAGTTTTGGAAATAGTGAACCCTACACTGGTTGTGTACTGGTCTCAGGATCAAGTAGTTTCAACCTTCAGCTATGGGTATTTTCCACCCTCTCCATTTCAAAATGTAAGTACTTTACGTTGTTTAGTAAAAATTAAGGTTCAGGGCAAAAGACTTGGTACCCCTTATTAAATGAGGGACGGTTGAATATGGGATGGCAGTTGGAAGTAAAATGGGAAGAAATTTGAATGGGAGGTAAACGATGATAAAGTATTACCCTCAATAGTGCTAGAAGTGATTATATTTGGTACAAATTTTAAATACTAGAAATGGTTATATTTTGAAATGGAGTGAGTATCAAATTGAATATACAAAAGATGATCCGCTGAAGCCTTTGTTGATATATCCTCTTATCGGGCAAAAATTACTGGGACAGAAAATCAATACCACAAGAAAAGGGCTGATTTAAGCACGAAGTACATTTTTCCAGTTTTGGATAATATTGGCAGCAGGAAAAGCTGGCACCTTCAGACTTCAGGAAAACAATATCCTGAATCATTGCAACGTAATGTTGAATTATAGCGTGAGCCCTTTTTCTTTAATTACAGAATGGATTTTCTCTATGTTTTCTAGATGGGCAGAAGTAAGAACAGATAATTAAAGGTTAGTATCTCCCATTTTTTTTATTACACAGGTAAGTAAGGTAAACAAATGCATATATGTTTTGTGCTTGGATAAGAATGATATAGCAAACAGATAAGATTGGGCCAATTATATCTGAGAATGCTCTAAATGACTACACACACCATCACACAATCAGATACAAAAAAGAGTGATTCATAAAATTACAACATATGTGAGTTAACTGTCCACATGTAGACCTTTTCATCTTTACTCACAGGAATCCCAGCTATTCAGTGTTGATATGGCAGGAGTAAACTCCGAAACAACACAGTACAATGCTATGCCTAGGACATACAACATGATGCTTTGGTTGGAGGGGCTGGCTCCTGACCTGGGACAACAATTTTTGTACCTTTCAGTAAGCTCGAGTTTCCGCTAGAATCAACCTCCTCATTTGCAACAAGGTTTTTCTTGCTGACAATACGGTAAATCTCCGTAAGTACGGTCATGAAAGCATTTTCAACATTGGTAGACTCAAGAGCAGAGGTCTCCATGAAGAAGAGATTCTCACGCTCAGCAAATTCCTTTGCATCCTCAGTCGGTACAACCCGAAGCGTGCCTAGATCAGATTTGTTACCGATAAGCATAATAACAATGTTCTTGTCAGCATGGCCTCTTAACTCCTCGAGCCACCTAGCTACATGATCAAATGACTGACGCTTTGTTATGTCATATACTAACATAGCTCCCACTGCACCACGGTAGTATGCACTTGTTACTGCTCGGTACCTATTATCACATTCAGAGAGGTTACTTAGCCAGTGAATAATTTTAGATGAAATGCACCAGAAACAAAAAACCAAATGCCAATATTGGAGCATGCATTCCAAAATGGAAATGTTAGTGATACAACAAACCATTCAACTATAGCAGATCTTACAATAAATCATCTGTACTTTGTTCAAGGGAGTAATCATTAAAAATGTCACTCTAGTACTTCTTTTAGTTCTTTCCAACAAGTATCTTATTTATCATTTCTTACAATTTAATAAAATATGCAATAGGAAACATCTATGAATACTTCAGATGTAAATTGCTAAACATATTACTATTGGGGTGCCAAAAGTCATCACTGCCACTGGGATTAGAATAGCAAATTCTGGCTTCAGATATATATCTAATTTCCCTGAAATAGTTGCTTGTAATATTTAATTACATGAATTTAAAATCCAAACATTTGTCGTAAAAGCAGTATGCAGTAAGAGAGTATTACTAGATAACATCCTGTTTTACCAACTGCAGCAAGAATATAGATAATTTTTATTTGAGTAAAATATTTAATTTCTCTGAAAAATATATTGCCTAAGAAGTTGTTTAAAGTGATATTTACCTTGACATGTTTTATTATTTTCTCAAGAAAAATGCATCTAGTTGTGTTTACATGTGGCATCTGCTTTGCTCGATACAAGCATCTACTACATGTGTTCAGTAAAACGAGAAATAACTGTAATATTCACTAACTGAATTGTTAAATATCTACATAGGGATAAGTCAAAAGATGTAGATGTCAAATATGAGTTTGTCTTGAGTACACTGATCAATTATTACTCCCTTATTCCACCTGGTTCATGGGATAAGAACATATTGATGGTCCATACAGGGCTGCAAAAAATGGCAGGAATCTGCCAGTTCCCTGTGGTAACTCTGTAACATGAGGTTCATAAGTTGTTTTGGCCAATTTTAGCTATTTTTTTAAAAAAAAAACTCCACTTCTTGTTACGTGCTATTGGAAACTTGAATTGCAGAATAATTTTACAAATATATTTTGAATTTTATCTGGGATTAGATAAGTAATCAGGTCCAAAGAAACACTTCCCAAAAGGGGATTGAAACCCTGGCCCAAAGGATATGCACATTATTCAATTCAACGTTATTGTATGGCACCATATTCATTGTTCCTTGCTATGGTGCTAATAGCAAATAATAGCTCAAAAGGACATATTCATGTATGCAAGTAATAGACATATTTCACTTTTTTGAGGACTTTAATTTTTTGAGGATGCTTGCCATGCTGCTTGTCAATATATCTTATTTCTTATTGAAAGTGCAAATTATATGATTCTGTACTGAATATAAACATATTGTTAATGATCTTGCAAGTCAAAACAATCTGATGTGTACAGCAGAACAAACATCTTACATGTTGTAAATATCTGATCTGTATAGTAGAACTCCAATTTCAGTATGCATTTCATTGAAGCCTCCTCTTATGTGTTCTGTGTGGGGATTTGTGCTAGGTTTTGGCTTTTGGGGTAAAATTCTCATTCGATCGGGGTTTGCGCATGTATTCAGGTTGAGCATCAATTACTAATTGCAGCAAACTGAGTGGATCAATACTTTCAATAATTCTGATTCTTTGAAATTTTTTTTCTAATCTAAGATTTGTTTGGAGGCGACACCGTGATGTTGCTTTTTAGGCTGGTCTCCTCTAGCTGCTGCAGCCATCTGAACAATGAACACTGGACTTTAGGCAGGGGCTCTAGCATTCATTAAAAAAGAGGTGCAAAACTCGAGCCAATCCTAGCATTCAAGCTTCCGAACTTCTTTCCGAGAAGATAGTGTCCCCATTTCATCATGCCGGGGCACAACAAAATACAGCTCCTCCAGCTGACAAAGTGAATATTGTATCGCTATTTCGTTTTGTTGAACATTATGGACAAATCAGATTCCAGAAGCAGCACACAAAGGCCTTCCAAGAACTTAGTAAGCTCATGACCTCTTCTCTTCATGTATCCCACAAAAACATCCTCATTAAGCAATTAAAAAGGGACTACAAAGAGAGTAACCTACTAACTTCAAGGGACTACAAAGAGAGTAACCTACTAACTTCATAAATGGCATAAGTGCACTAGAAAGAACATGGCCTACTCCTATTAATGAAATGAAACTATTGAGTGCATACTACCCATACTACCTTAGCCAAAAAAACCATTAAGCTCATAAAACAGCACAGTAGCATCAGTTGTTGTTCTTGTTGGATCAAGGGTTAACTTTTTTTATTTATTTATCATCTCATTATGCTGAACAAACTGAAACAAAAAAAAAAAAAAAGGCTGGCAGTGGCAGCTATACCTTTCCTGGCCGGCGGTGTCCCAGATCTGGGCCTTGACGGTGCGGGCGTCGATGTGGAGGGTTCGCGTCTGGAACTCGACGCCGATGGTGGCCTTGGAGTCGAGGTTGAACTCGTTGCGGGCGAACCGCGCCAGCAGCTGCGACTTCCCCACCGCGGAGTCGCCGATCAGCACCACCTTGAACACGTAGTCGATCTTCTGCCCCACCTCCCCGTAGCTCCCTCCTCCTCGCGACATCTTTCCCCCACCTCCTCCTCTTCTCCTTCTACCTCAACAACACAAAAGACTGCAATCTTTTCTTTCTTCTTCTTCTTCTTCTCCCGTCCCGTCTCTCCAATCCAAGAACCGAACAGCAATCGATTCTTGGATCGACCCTGCTCTCCCTGGCGAGTTGCTGAATTTTTAGTATCAAAATGGAGGGGGGAGCTTGGTGGTGAGATGGGGGTAGAGCAGAGAGAGGCGGCGGTGCTTGGATTTCTTTGGTATTGTTTTTGGGAGAAGAAAGGAGGATGATTACACTGGATTAGAATAAATAGTGGAGATGATACTCAACTAGCGCTAATTGCTAATTGGATGGTAAAATAGAGCGGTGTTGAAGGGATCAATGGGAAGCCGCCATGGGCATGAGGAGGTGGAAGAAGAAGAGGAGATGGAGACCAAGTGACCAAGACGACGACGACCACGCCAACACGAGGAGCAACCAAAGAGGATTAGAGGAGCGTCTTTGTGTTTGTGAGTGTGAGTCAGACTGGAAGTTTTGAGGACCAAAACCAAAGCGAAGCGTGTTCAAGTGTCAACGCAACGGGGGCCCTTCGAGGGGTTCTCTGCAAGATTTTTTTTCTCTTTGTTTATACTCGTTATATTTGAGATAAGATTTGATCAAATGTTTTATAAACTTTTTCCAAACAAAAAGGTGTAACTGTATTAATTGAGTAAAGAATTATAACAGTTTGACACCGCATCCTTTCAGCTTGCGGTATGACTAATTGTTCGAGCTAATCGTGAGCGATCTTATTACGCCCTTTTGAAAGGGTGCTAGGTCTTAGCTCCCAGTTACGATTGAGCGCCATCTAAATCGGTTTCTCCTATTAGGAACAGAACCACAATCATCAAAGAGCGATCCGATTCCACGGTCAGTAGTTTATAAAATTATCAATATTTCATAAATTTGACTTCTTAACTAGTTGTCGTACATATATTTATGCACTCTACTATGTACTTATTAGATTTTGCAAATTTATTTTAATATAAAATTGACAATCAAAATTTAGAGCAACTATGGAGTACTTATTACATAATCTTGTCCCAAGTATATAATATCTAGTATGACTATATTTTTGCAAATCTTTACATGAATTGAATAACTTGAAGAGAAATCTGAGACAAGAAGGGAACAAATTGTCGACTAATTTCAAGTTCTGTAGCTATTTAAGTGGATTCATGCGCATGTTGACCTATTCTTGATTTGATTGTGAAGTTGTAAACGACAAATTTGTAAGATGCTTTGAGGCGTGAAAAGGACAGTTTGTGCCTACGCGTTGATAAAGACCGGAAATAAGTATAGTAAAGAAATGAAAAAAAAATGCTTGACGAATGATTATCAATAATCCATTTGCCAACAAGCCCGAATAATGCCGTTGCTTCAGATTCTCTAGTTTTGCTTCAGATTCTCTAGTTTTCTTCTCACAAATAGCATGTATATTTCTTCTCGCAAATAGCATGTATACGGGTATAGATAAAGAACTCCCTCAATCTTTCATTGAGGGAGTTGATTGGTTTATTAGACATATGATTGGTTTATTGTCATAGTTGTAGCCATTGCCACACTTTTTTAATAACACGTCCCACAGATCATAGACTTGATTTTTTTTTGTCAATTTTATCACACTTTGCGACTATTGTCATGTTGTCTAATCTTAGTTGTGGTAAAATATGACTAGCAACCAAACACACTCACAGTTTATTAGGCATATGATTGGTTTATTGTCACAGTTGACAGTTTATTAGGCATATGATTGGTTTACTGCCACAGTTGTAGCTTTAGACACACTGTTTTAATAACACGTCCCACACATCATAAACTTAATTTTCTTGTCAACTTTGTCACACTTTGCGACTAGCAATTTCTGTAGCGAAGCAAATAAATCAAATTGAGAGCTAGCTGACTGCTGACCTGGAGTGAACCCCTGATATTGTTATTAATGCCAGTTCTTCAAAACAACTAGAATAACTTTCGATTAGTATTTCGGAAGCATATGCTTTACAGTTTCCACATATTTGAAGAAACAAGGAGTAGCAATCACGTGACATAAGTTCAATATGGGTTGAATAATCATGAAGATACATTATTCATCAATAGCAACATGAATACATCACCATGTGAAACAAAAGGGGAAACACACACCAAATGACATGTTGAAAGTAGCATAGATGTAACACTACGTAAAACCAAAGCTACTGCAGAACACCGGGAAGCCTCTGGCATTCAAAGATTATATGCTGAATAAATGAACTTCTTGGCTTCTCTGCTGGTGAACAAAAACTTTCAATACTGTTAGTGATATCCCTAGGCAGTAGTTAGTTCTGTTAGCTAAAATGTAACAAAATTGTGCCTTACATCGCCCCTTGGATGACCTCCCATTATATCAGTAGTATGCTTTCCTTGGATTGTTCTGTAAAAGTGAGATGATCATTAGGTGAACAGGGATGACCAAACCACTCATTTACACAGCTTATGGCAGACAACATACCAGTGGGTTTGGCCTATAACGGTAGCCAAGCATCATTCGCTTCTTGTATTGCTCATAGATATCATCTTCAGATGTGACCTCACCAGGTTGGACAGCGCCAACACCAAGATGGTCTTTCTTCACGTCTCCAGCCATAATGGGATCTGCACGTCCACTTCTCTCACTGCCAAGACCCTCACCTGCACAAGACAACTTAGCATCTCAAAATCTGATGTATAAAACATAACCTTGAGAAAACAGGAAACACCAGCAACAGTTGCGTTCTGTTAATCATTAATGATAAATTCTTATCACAATTTTTAGCACGGTGTCTGTGGGTAGAGGTGGCTAATTTGCGACAGAACTGTACAGCAACAAATATTTGCTGGAAGAACACAGGAAACAGGATATGGCGATAGACAGGAGGAGATGGGCAGCAACCAGCAAGAGAGCACAGAATCAAGAATGAATACCAGAGTTCAGATAGGATTTGAAATGAAATTTACAGTCTACCACTACCAGACACCCAATTGATTTCTTTGCTGGGGGGTTGATTTGGATTTCGTACTGATTAAAGGGAAATCCAAGAGGAACAAAGTAAGATCCAAATGATAATTCAAATATTCAAGGACTAACCTTCCCTCCATCCCATCTTAGACAGAAGTTTGTGTCCGATATTGTCAGCCTGAATCTTAGCCTTCTCTGCAGCTTCTTTGGTAGCTTTTTGTGCAGCAGCATCGTTACAACGTGCCATAAACTTTTCAAGTTCTTCTTGAGGAATGAAGTCGCCCATGTGATGTCCCTTCTTGGAAGAAGGAGCTGCAAAACACAGACCAGATAGAAAGGAAACAAATATGAGGTCTCCGGTTTCCCCAACCCTTGAATACAGACAAACAAATACTATAAAAGAAGGGTACCTTGAAGAGAAGGAGGTGGTGGCATTTCATCTTTTGATTGTTTCGGTGGCCTTTTCCGTTCTTCCTGTGCAGCTTTCTTCATGTAGAATTCCATCAATGCTACTGGATCCTTGGGAGGCTCACCTGCAAAAAAATAAAACAACACTGAGCACATAAAAAAATTAAGATGAAAAGATCAAATATATCAAGTTGGAAATATCAACTTCTGAGGGAAACTAAAAGTTGGAAATAGAACAGCCAATACAGTTTGAAGCATGAAAAAAAGAAACTCGTGTTGGTTCTGTTTGTTGCAGTACACCCCAACTATATAAAACAGGCCGTGCAACATAGTTGTAACAAAAAAGAAATTAGAAGTAACAATAACAATTGAAGCGGCAAACTTACATTGGGCATAAAAGTTTGATAACCAGAACACAGTATAGAAACACAGGTAATGTAATTGAACACTCAGCCACAAGACAATAAAAAACAAGGAAACAACGAATATAATTTACCATAGCCAGATGAGCTTCCTTGGGAAGAACTACCCTCATATGCCCCATACAAAGCTGAAGCAGGTGTTTGATAATTAGTCTTTTGTTCAAATGAGCTTCTCTGTGGGGCACTTGGTGCTCTGGAGCTTGGAGTGCTTGAGCTAGCTGAATTTGACAAGGGCATGTAATTTGATTACTTGCACTGAAGCCGAATTAAACCAAAAACCACAGAACTTTTGTGTCACAAACCATGTTTTGATGCCTGGGCCTCCTTTGACTGAGCAAGTAACATTTCTTCTTCAGCAAGCCGAAACTCATAGTATTTGTAGTCTGAACAGTTCTTATCAAACAGAAACCTGAAAATCACAAAGAATTGTATTAACACAATGGTGCAGCTAGTCTTACAAGCTGAAAGTCAAAACTCAAATACATTTATCTATAAATTATTTTTTAAAATTAAATTCATAGAATAGAATAGTGATAACGCGATCAGAACAGTTTAGCCTGCATACTTGAATGGTGTATCTCCAGGATTCCTTTGACGCGTGACATTCTCAAACTGTCTCCCATTTTTGGCAACAAAATTTGCTAATTTGTCAGCAACTTGCTTCACAGTCATATCATTTGGTGGTGATGGGGCTGCATGTCACTTAAATAACTGATTAATATCAAGCGCATGAACAAGGAATGCAAATTACTGCTGTAGCAGTAATGCATCCAACTCTTTCAATCAACATCCTTCCCATCAATGTCGATACAGTTAATCTATAAGCTGCAGTCAGAAGAAAAAAAACCAAAGCCTTCACAAATTTCTGTTTCCAATACCAGTTCAAGTAATTTCATATGCTGGGAACAGATGTTATTTTTGACAACCTAAACAGTATATCATATATGCATGAATCATATATATTATGTCCACAGCTCCTTGGTTTAACAGTAAATTGTCCTGGTATAAGAGCTTGAGAGCTTTACAATAGGCAGACCATGTCAGTCAGTCAGCAGCTCAAGGGATACTTATGTAGTATCACCGGTTACATGTTCAGCAGTTTATCAGAAACCTACGACATATCAAATGCTTGTATAAAGACTGCAACAAATTCAATGAGCTAATCTAAACCATGAACAGAAGCTATACTGAATAATGATGAATACCTACTATTTCGATTGTGCTTTCATTATAATCAAAATACATCCAATGATTAAATCCAAAGTTCCAATCCAGTTGGAGATGGACTATAATATAACCCATAGTAACCAACAAACATATAACAAAAGTATTTGATACTATGTCACAGGAAAAGAATGCGATTACAGGAACAAATGTGAATAAATGATTACCAACGACCCCTGACAGGGCAGCCACCGATGCAGGAGCTTCAGGTTGCGCATACTTCTGCCGCTTCACAGGCTCCTCCCTGTCCGCACCAACATCTTCCTCATCCTCATCGTCAGCCGCAAACTTGACTGGCGCCACGGCGACCTTATTCTTCTTGAGGCTAAAGGCGAGCTTGGCGCCCGACGAGATCGAACCGGCCTTCTTCACCTCGCCCCCCTTGAGCTCCAGCGGCCTCTTGCTCGCCGACGGGGTGTTGGCGGCGACGACAACCGGCTTGGGGTTGGTGGCCTTGGCCGCGGCGGCGGCGGACGACGAGGCGGCGGCGGCCTTCTCCTTCTCCTTCTCCTGCATCTGCTTGAACCGCTCCATGAAGGAGCCGTCGTTGGCGAAGAGTCCCTTGTCGGCCATGGCTGCTGCTGCGGCTGTTGCTACTACACAAAATCCTTTCAAGCCCCAATCAACAACGCCATCGTTACACCACAAGATGCAGTAGAACTACGCTGACCGATCCAACCCCCCACGAGAGCAAACCACACCCTAGCGGAAGCGATTGGTCTCGGCTCGAATCTAGCTCGAATGCGCGGCGAGAGCGAGATACCGGGAGAGAATCGGGGGCGACAAAACAAAAAAAAAATCGAGGGGCAATTGGAGGACGGAGGCTCGAGGCCTCCGGCTAGTAGCCGGGATCGGGAAGGGAGAGGAGGGTGGTTACCTTGGTCGGCCGGGAGGGATCGGAGCGGAAACCCTAGAACGGCGAGAGCGCGTGGGGTGTGGTGTGGTGGGGTGGGGATCGGTGGAGAGAGAATATGACGATGGGATCGTGGGAGGATGCCGACCGATTCCGATTTCCGCGATTCGTGAACAGCTCCGCGTGGTTCTGGGCCGGACAAGTGTGAAATGGTTCGTACGGGCCCAACAATTCTGATTGGGTTTTGGACTATTTTTGCCGCTCTCCCGATAGCGTGCTGTCAAATTGCCGCTCTTCCGGATGACTTCGGCTGCATTCGTCGTGGGCATTTGGGAACAAACCTGAGCAATTTATTAATTATTAAGTATTAGCTATTTTTTTCAAAAATAGATAATATGATTTTTTTAAGCAACTACTCCCTCCATTCCAAAATATAAGGCACAACTAATTTTTAAAGTTGTTTCATAATATAAGGCATGCATGCATGCATGTAATTAATTAGCACATTCTCTCCCCTAAATTATTATTATTATGAATCCTGCACTTACAAGATCTTTAATTCTATTGGTTGCATGTATTGTACTAGTTGAGGTGATTCATGACAATGATATGATATTAAATATTTCTTGGTCTTTGGGTTAAGAGTGGTTGTGCCTTATATTTTGGAATGGAGGGAGTATATCGTATAGAAACTTTTTATAAAAAAACACAATGTTTAGCAGTTTGAAAAACGTGTGTGTGGAACACAAGTAAGAGGGGTTGGGAACACCTAGCAACGAACACGGCCTTTGTCATTTTGTCATTGGAGATTGAAGATTATTATTTTTTACTTGTGTCATTTTTGAGCGCATGAGACGCCACATCACCAAATCTGAGGATAAAATAGTAGTTTTGCTCTTCTTCATCCTCTAGCTTGGGTCTATCTCTTCCAACCTTCCTCCAAAATAAATGAGCTGGTGATGTCGCCGCCACCGGTGTTGAGCCATCAATCCGAAGCCAGGACGACGTGAAGAGGACCTCAAGCGTCCCGCCACCAAATAGCTATGAAGGAGACGGACGACCCTGGGCTCTCTACCACCAGACTGACCATGTCACCGCCTTGCCATGCGCCACCAGATCTGTCGCCCTGCATCGGTACCACCTCCGCCAGATCTATTGCAAGTCAGGGCCATGCTTTCCCTTTGAATGTAAGGCCATTATTGGAAAAGAAGAAAAGGAAGAAGCTCTCCACTCTGGTGCTTTGTGCTCAGAGGACGATGACGACGGTGGTGATGGAGTGAGGCACCGACGGTGGCATCTTGTCGTCGAATAACCATCTCTGCTGGTCCCCAACTGCATTGGCAACAGCGGAATGACCGAGGGGTCAAGGAGATAGGGTTGTAGGCATGGAGTGGAGCAAAGGAGGGAGGAGCACGAGGCTAGGAGCTCACTGGCCAGGGAAATGAAGAGATGAAAGAGATTGAGCAAGGGAAGGAGAAATGAAGAAGAAAGGCAAGACAATTATTTTACCCTCAGATCTGGTGACATGGCGCCTCGCGGGCTCAAAAATGGCACACGAGCAAGAAATATTCTCTCTTCGGTGGCAAAAAGACAAAGTCATCGGGAGAGTGGTATTTGAGAACACACCATTTGGGAGAGTGGCAAATAGTCCAAAACACCAATTCTAGGGATTTTGGGTCAGCTTTATTCGTGCCCTTGGGCTGTAAAACCGGATATGGCTTGTCCTACAACTTTTAAAACCAACATAAATCGAATTCCTAGACAGTATTGATAAAAGTTTCAGCTAACATGGCACCTACATGACTTCTTGACTTGATATCCGTCCCCTACGACATCTACATAGCTCTAGAAGAAAAAAATGAAACTAAAAACACCACCAGGACCTATATGTCATTGAGAATCTAGTTAGAAGAAAACTAAAACAGATAAAACATGGAGGCTGCCTATCAATCCACTGCCCCTTCACCACCACCCGTACACCCCCGTTGTCATGGCTGCACACTTCTTTGCTGCTCAATCGGGTTAACTTGGCTTCTCCTGCGCAGATCCCGCAACCAATTCTCTATATTGTGGTGATGCCATGTGTCCCCTGATCACACGATGCTTCAGTGCCGCTTGGCTGATAGGTGGGCCCCCTCGTCCCAACTTGTTAGCACTAAAATTTGGTACGGTTCTTTAGTGGATTCGGTTAAGGAAAGAAATCGATTGGCAGAAAAAATTTATATAGGCTAGATGATGCATTGTGCTTTGCTGTCGGATATATGTTTTCGGCTCTTCTTTATTGGTAGTCTTTCTTGCTATAGGTAATGTCTTGACTTCGTTGATGGTTGCATGAACTGCTTCAATTTCACAGGCCCCTCTTAGAACGATATGTAGTAGTTCATCCTAATTGAAGTATTTCATTCTAGCGAGCGTTCCTTTCTTTACATAGAAATGACAGAATGATTTGGATTGAAATATTATGAAATGACTTGAGAATGAGAATGATGATTTAGCATGTGTACGTTGAGTTTTAGAATAAAATAAATTGTTAATGTAATTACTATGATTGCATGTTGAGCTTTGGGTGTTTAGTGGGTTAATGTGGCATGCTTGCATGTTAAGCTTTAGAAGTACTAATAAATACTATGCTTGCATGTGAAGCTTTAGGTGTTTAGTGGGTTGTAACTTTATAGAAGATATAGATAAGATTGAATTCAAGGAAGAATTATAAAGACCACGACAAGACATTTTTATTTTTCGTATATCACTTAAATAGGCAGGATTAGTTATTTTTCTTTTCTTTTTAGGTAATCTTATCTCGTGTCCGGTATGGACTTGTACAAACCCAAGGGTATAAATATGTACACCTAGGGTATTTGTAATCATCAACAAAATCAATGCAATAAAATTTTGGCACATCGCCTCTCTTTCGATGGGTTCTTGTTTTCAAGTAGGGCTGCATCGGTTAAGTTTAATCTCCAGTGAGAAATCAAGTTCGGGGTCTTACTCTCGAGTTGGGCTGTATCGGTTAAGTTTGATCTCTAGTGAGGAAGTAAGTTCCGTCAACTTCGTTTATATCGGCCCTGGTTAGGACTTCCTCAGTTTGGTCTGATATTCTAATCAGGCATTTGTAAACGTTGTCATTTTTTGTTTTTATCGGTTTGGTTAGGACTTTCTCGGTTAAGTCTGATATTCTAATTGGACTATTACGGGCATTGCTTATCTGATATATCGACTCTATTTTTAGCTGCATCACTATTTAAAGTTGTATTGGCTTAGTCAGGACTACCTCGGTTAGGTCCCATATTCTAATTAGATTAGATTGATATCTCTTTTAACCGCATTGATGTTTTAGATTGATTCGATATATCCATCACGTTTGTGCAGATTTATCAGCTAAATAAGTTTTTCTTATTATCTTCAATCCCATACTGTTTCGGTTATGTCTGATCTATTAGATTACTACTAATAAGTTTAATTCTAGTAAGCCGATAGGTTTTATGCAATGTTTCATCGGAGTTCTAGCCGATGTCATCATTATTATGGGCTTTATCTATGAAATGTATCGGTTAGTTAGCCGATATACATGCAAATCTACCTGCATCAGATCTTTAGCTGATATATGCTTTAACCATCGGACCTGCACCTACCACACTATATCAGTATCGACCAATTGGTTTATTGGTTCAATTCTGTCTATCTATCTTGTTAGTTGCAGAATCAAACTAACTGACACGTCCTAAATTTAGGACCTACACTGGAGTTAAACAAACCTCTCAGGCCTTCGTGTGTTGGACAAATTTTGTGCTAACGCAACAGCCAACAACCCCTCTCCTCTACGCGGTCACACCTCCATGACACACGACACATGATGGCTCATGTTTGCACCCTCACATAAAAAAGCGAAGGAATGGGAGCTCAACATAACTGTCAACTGCTATCTCACGCGCCTCTCTAATTGATCTCCCTCTTTCATCATGATTCACGTGTAGTGGCGGTGGCATGGCATCTCGATCTCTAACGTACGTGGGAGGAGGTGAGAAGGGGAGTCAAGCTATACAAGCGTGTGCTTGTGCATACTGGCTGCCGGCTGCGGTGGCATCTGTGGCCATAGCCACCAGGATCACTTAATACCATTTGTGTTAAGGGTTAGTCTGCTTTACCCTCCTCAATTATCACAAAAGTTTGATTTACCCCCAACTCTAATACCGGTCATTATATACCAACTTTTCAGACGAGACCAATTATCCCCTCCCAAAATTCAGAGTGGTTTTAGTCCCATGTGGCATCCAAATATCCTAATCAGCTTTGTAGGGCCTAGGCGCCCTTCCCACCTAATCAACACTGCAGGCTCACCATCTATGTTGATACTACTGCAATTGGCTGAGGAAGAAGGTAGTTGGTCAAGGAAGGAGGTATACGTGAGGCAAGACAAGGCGCAATGACAAATTGGAGCTAAAGGATGAGCTAGCGGCGGGCAGGGCAACGCTGACTTGGTGTTGGGGGATGTTGAGCAACAAAGGCGACTTAATGGGCGATGAATTGGTCCCAAGTTCCGAGGCCACCGCCATGAATCTTTTTTTTATTTATTATCACTGCTCTTTGCATTGTATGTGTGGGCCCACTAATTAGTTCGTTTGAGACTACAACACTTCTTCGACTCCCTTGTCCTCCTGGTTGCTTGGTACTTATGGAAAGAAAGGAACGCCCGCGTCTTCGACAACGTTATGTCCTAGGTGCCGACGATGGTGGATCGGATTGTGCAAGAAGGGTGGCAATGGGTTGAGAGAAGACCGGAAGAGCTTAGTTTATTTCGCTTCTCTCACCTTCCTTTTAGTAGTTGCACTCAGTTTAGCAAGCTCTTTAGCGCCATACTATACCCCCTACCCCTGTAACTGCCTCAGCGTGTTACCGATACATGCTACTCTTCTTCTAATATATTGATGAGTAATGCTTTTGCACGTTCGAAAAAAAGAGAAAACTTTGACACTTGCTGCTTCCAGTCCCACTCACACGAGTGCTGTCTTTCTATTTTAAAGTTAAATGAGAAAAGTCAAAATTTAACGTTAAAACGTTTGTTCAGATAGACAATTAGGAACCTAAATGTGTAGATTTTGTTGAGTTGCAAAATTAAATTAA